CGACAGGAGTGGCTCGCGAGGAGCAAGCCGGAGCCCGAGCCTCCGGCGCCGATCGTGGCGCCCGCCACAGAGCATGCCCGCGATCGGCGGCCGCGCGATCGGCCCGGCCGGATTCGGGCGATCGGAGCGGGTTGTCAGGGGCTCCTGGGCATGTGATCGTTTTCAGATTCCTTCTTTGGCCGATCGGCGCAGGCCCTCGCACGCCCCCCCCCTCCCTACCCCCCCCCCATGGAGTAGATCTTGGCTGTTTCTGGTCTGGCGCCAGTTTCGGGCAGGTGGAGTCCCTCCCCCATGGGACGCACTGTTGCAAACAGCCACAACAGGCAGAGGTCCAAAGCCAGACCTTTCCCCCTCCCTCTCCCTTCCGCCCAATGTCGGAACGCCGAGTAAGAAAACGCTCACATTGTGGCAGTTGTGGACGTGTGCTGCGCGCGTTTCCGCCAGTGCTTGCAGGCGACGCAGAGCTCACGCCCGAATCAGAGCAGGCGTTTTGACAGAGGCGAGGGACAGACGCCCGCGAGCTCAGGGGTCGGGAGGGCTAACGACTGCAAGTGAAACTCGCGTCGTCTCTCAAAGTGTGCGTGTTACTCATTCGTCTCGTGCGCAGAATCCTGGCACTTCTCCAACAGTAACACGCTAACGGGGTCGTCCGACCTGCGTGACAGTGATGCTGTGTATTGGCGAGGCCGACAGCTGTAGCATGCGGAGGGCAGGGAAGAAGGAGGCCCACGATCACGTCAAGGGAAGGGAGGAGGAGGAGGAGGAGGAGGAGGAGGAGGAGGAGGAGGAGGAGCGGGGGAGGGAGGGTGGAGGGTCGGGGAGATCGTAAGGGGGATTGGGATGGGGGAGGGCGAAAACTGCTGCTCGCCGCCGGCTTCGGCTCTTCCGCGGGACGCCTTCCTCGATATACGTGGGCACCGCCAGCGCGGGGAGGCGCCGGGAAGGCCAGTTTTATGTCGGGTGTGTCCCCCTAGAGTGGGATTTTCCACGAAAAATAAAAAATACCCCAAACATGCACCAAAAAGGCAAACAAATACTTCAAAAATAGTTCCCAGACTATCTTTGGATAATGTTTTCATTCTTTTGGGGGTATTTTTTATTTTTCGTCGAACATCCCCCTGTAGGGGTACAGGCCCGACTTAAGGCCAGCTGCGTGAGCTGATTCGCCAGCCCTCCCCCCTTCCCCGAGCGGGGGAGCCAGGGGCAGCGACACGGGTCGGTACGGGAGAAGCGGGTACGGAAAGAGTGGGTACGAAGATCTAGGCTTGGCATCGCTCGGACGTGTGCATTTTCCCTTCGGCGAGGACCATCGAGGAGCGTCCTTGATCATTTAGCGAAAAAACCACGCACGAAACCGAAAAAAACACAGGGAATGGACTTCCGAGCGATGGCCAGTAGGCCTCCTAGATGGGGTCCGAGCAGGTGGGGTCGGAGGATCGCGCCGTATGGTCGATGCCTCGGCGGTGCGGCTCGATGTGGCGCCCGATGTTCTCCACGCTGGAGTCGCCGATGCATCGCGCCGATGTCGCCGACGCACCGCCGATGCGTCGGCGAAGTATCGCCGATGCAGTATCGCCGATGCATCGGCGATTTCGGCGCGATCCTCCGACCCTGTCTTCTCTGACCCTACAGTCGGGGCCCTGAACAAGTAACCCTTTTCGTTGGGGAGGGGCTCGGTCTTCCTTAAGTGTTTCACAGCTTGCCTCAGGCTTTCCTTACGTTTTCAATCGGAGATCGAGATTCAACTGATGGAAAATAGGGGCCTCGTTCCTTATTTAGGGTTCCTTGGGTCAACGCCCCGACTGTATTTGGGAGGCCTCTAGAAGACCATCCGCAGATCTGGTCGATTTTGAACAGGGCTCGCTGTGGGTGTGCCGCCGCGGGCCTATTGCTTTTTTTTTAGAGGCAGAGGGTCGCCTGCTGCCAACCGCGGCCGGGCGTCGGTGTGGGGGGCAGCACGTGCCAGCGGAGGCCTCTGCTTCTCCTCCTCCTCCTCCTCCTCCTCCTCCTCCTCCTCCTCCTCCTCCTCCTCCTCCTGCCCAACAGCCGCCGGGTGCCGGTGTGGGGCAAGACACTTGCCAGCGGAGGCCTCTGCTTGCCTCCGGGGTGCCCTGGGCCTCTTGGCTTTCCCATTCACGATACTCCCGCGCCAAAAATCTAAAGACGTCCTGGGGCCTCATGGTTGGGTTTCTTTCGGAAGGTTTCTCGCGGTCGAGCTCCTACTGCAGAGGTAGGGGAACGGCTTCTTAGAGGCACCCCTGCTTCTAAGTCTGCAGATGCCAGGCTAGCGCGCTAGCGCCTTCTAAGAAGCAGCCTCCTTCTGAGAAGCCTTCCCCCCTCCTCCTTACCACCCTGCGCGCGACGCCAGTCTAGGTCGTTGCATCAGGGCGCATTGGGCATGGACGGGGGGACGGAAGCAGGGACGAGGGTCAAGGAAAGAGGAGGGAGGAGGGAGAACAAGAGGCAGGAGGCCGGGGCGGAGAGGAAGGCAGAAGGGCCGCGAGGATGTTGGCGCGGGTGGAGTCCGTGAGCCAAGGTGTTCCCAGCTTTCCCCTCAACTTTGGAGTCCTCCTATACCTCGTGAGTGGTGCTCTGGAGGCCATGGGGGCCTCCTTGGACATCCCTGGGGGCACCCTGGGCCAGGGGCGCCTCTAGCAACACAAGAGCGCTGGAACAGCAGCACGGTACCAGCCTTGCCGCCCTTCTGTCACGGAGTGCACGGGTGTACCTGTGGTTCGTCGCGGTCGCCGTCGCCCCGAGTCCTCTTTTTGTCCTCCTCCTCCTCCGAGCGACCGCCAGACCACAGTGCCCAGGCCCAGTGACGGCGACAGCAAGCTTACCGAGGCCACCCAAAATGCTGCTGGCAGTCAGGGAAGGGCTTTAACGCATGATTGCCACGAGAGTCCTCACCCCAGTTCGTGCCAGCCCCCCGAAGTAGGATTTGACAGTATCAGTTGTGATAAATCGGCCACCCGAGGGCCTGAGCCTAAAAAACCCTCCCGCACGACCGAAGGAACTCACACTGGCCCCAGCGCCCCGACTCCCATGCCAAGTCCTGCCATCCCTGACGACCTGTGCTGTCGCACGCGTGAGGAGATCGGGTTTGCGTCTGGGGCCAGTTGTCTAGAATATGTTCACCCTCCCCTGCTGTCTTCCGTGGCATTTCGGCTCAGTGAAACACGCTCCGCTTCACTATCAGGTATGTGTGCCGCGTTTGCTACTTCAGTCAAGCATACGATCAACAGACACCACGGCCAGGCCCCCTCGGGCGCAGCCCCCGCCCACGGATCGCAGTTCAAGGTTCAGCCCATGCATATGGTCGCCCATCGGCGCCAGCAGCGGTTACGCGATGCACGTGCCCAGTGGTGGACGCGACTCCGAACGGTCCTGAGTGGAGTACTGCAGCACACAGCACGCAGCAACGGTCCTGTCCAACTCCAGGGCTACCAGCAGGCGTGCGTGAAGCTGCTCCATGAGGCCCCCGAGCTTATCCAAGATGTCCTTCGACCACAACGAGACCCACCGTGGGAACGGTGGCGAGAGCTACTAGCCAAGGGCTCTGCCGAGACGGCGGTGGTCTTTGCGTCCTGAGAGTTATGTGCCAGACGTGTGGCAGACCGCGTCCAACGACAAGGTAGATGTGCGTCTTTACGTGATTCCAGATCCTGGATTCAGGAACCGCAAACGAATGGAATTCCTTACACATATCTGAAGCCGTTTAATTTGCCAGACAATGAATATGTTTCAGGTACGGGTGTGGCTACCCTGTCGAAATCATCGACGCGAAGGCGAAGATATTCACTGTTCCCTGGGCCCCACAACAGATCGACCTCAGTACGATTCGTGACACGTTTAACAGCATACGTGCAGTTGCCGACGACAGACCTCTGCCCAGTACCACTCCAGCTATGATAGTAGATGCCTGCGGCAGAATAAAGGCCTCCCCTGGCCTAGGGGTCGACGGTTTCACGCCAGTAGACTTTCAGTGACTACTTCCGACAGCATTTCAGGAGATGGTACTACTATTGACAGCCATCGAGGACACACCCACGTGGCCGATTTTAACGCAAGTCATCCTAGGTAAGCTCACGCCCAAGAAGACCGGAGCATATCTGGCGATAGGAAGATTTCGATGTTTGGAAGAGTTTGGTCGATGATTAGAGAGACAGATATTCAATCATGGGCGCAGTACCACACCACGGATTGGGACGCAGCCATCAGAGGAAGTGCATGATTACAGGAGGCGCTCCTGCGCGCCATCGATGAAGAAGTTGCTCATCGCTTCAGAATGGCAGAGTGTCGCGCAACGCTTGACATTGCGTCACTTTACGATACCATTCCTTGGTTGTCGCTCGCGGAGGTAGCTCTTTCGCTGGACTTCCCGCCCATCGTCCTTTATCTTGAACTGGCCCAATGCATTTCCCCACGAGCACTGGGACAAATTGGCGCAGCGTGAGATATCTTTGAACCATCGCAGTCAGCGGTCCAGGGCCTGCGAAGCGGGACACGTTTCGCGAAGGGCCTGACCCACTATGCCATGCAGAAAATAGCACTGGCACACCCCAGAGTGAGCCATTTGGGTCGACGATCTGCCCCAGATGATGTCAGGATCCAGCCCTGCCGTAAAGCAACATATGATTGATTGCATCGTCCACGCGTGCCAAAGGCTGGAGACGAGAGGCCTCGAGGTGGCCCCGAAGTCCATCATCGCGAGCTCGACGACGGAGGATACCACGGCCATCATCCGTGGAGTCCGCAGGCGGGGTTGCCAGATCAAGGGGGCCAAGCAGGCGGCATACCTGGGCGTTGACTTCGGATCCGGACGCCATGCCTGCAGCACACGGCGCATGAGGGAGTATAAGCACCATTTCATTTCGAACAAGATCGGCAGGTTCGCCAAGGCGCCCAGACGCTGCAAGGCGACGGCCAAATTCCAGACGCAGGGGGGCCTCCCAGCTGGCCTGCACGGCCACCAGGTGCACGGCGTTTTCGGACAGCAGATGCAGTTGGCGCGACGACGGATGATGGCGCAGGCAAGCGGGGGAACGGGCAAGGGCCGCTGTCTCACAACGTCGCTTGAGCTCACGGCCCCAGACCAGGACCCAGCGCTCAAGCTACCAGTTCCAATCGCGGACCAGTGACTGAAGTCGCGGCGAGACCATCCCAACCTCAGAACGGGCATTCGTAAAGTTTGGAACCAGATCTACACGCATATGCTTAATCTTAACCCTGCAGACCAGTCTCGTAACGCGCGTGGCCCAATCTCGGCAGCGATCCCAACATTGATGAGCGGGCTGGGGCCCGCAGAAGCCGCGCCAGTGGAACTGCAACACTGTCGCGGGCACGGCATGGCAGTGGCAGTTCCCAGACGGGCCCTACACAGGCGATGTGCACAACGATCGACACGACCACTTACTGCAAGACCAGCTACGATCAGCACCCCAGAAGCGCTGGGAGACCTGCGAGCCAGCACTACGCAGGTGGCGGGCTGAAACACGGGGTGGACATGGAGTGGCCCCAGAAGCTGGCGCCCCAACTCGAGGCCTCACCACATGGGCGCAAATTGTCAGAGACTATGGTCACGATTGCTGCAGCAGGGCGTGGGCCCAAATCGATGAAAAGCAGTTGCCACGGAATTTCCAAGGTACCGAGATATGCAACAGACGCCAACGCTGTTCCGAAACATTATCGCATCGGCATTGGGAGTGCGAAAAGAATGTGGGATCACCAGCCTGGGAGGCTGGCGCCCAATATGTTCCCGGACCTGGGCGCGAGCCCCAGAGCCCGTTGACCATGACGCGTGGTGGCCTGAAGGTGTGCCTTATGCTGTTGGCGGGCGTCTTGGACACGGGGCCCAGAGTGAGCCCCTGCTGGTGTCTGGGGATGCGTCGGGCGGGCCTGAGTCCAAATGGCCCAGGTCCCGACGCGCAGGCCTTGCGATCGCTTGCGTTTACACGCCAGCGCCCCTGTCCGCCCCCGTCCGCCAAGAGATTCACTTGCAGGAAAGTCGCGCCATGCATGTGCGCACGCGGCTCCTTCGCGCCACGATCGGCTGCTTCCGTGCTGAGCAAGAGCTTGCCCAGAGTGCCAGGGAGAGAATGAATGAGGGGGTACCCCCTTCTCCCCCAACCCCTCCCCGCCCCTCTGCTGCTGCGCTCTCCTCCTTCCGCTCGGCGCATCGGCTCTCGAAGTGTCAACGTAAGTGTCTGAAATGTTTCAGTCCAGCGTCGTCTGCTACAGCTGAGGAGTGGAAACTCACCCCCTTTGCCAGGAGCTCGTCAATGTGAACGGGGCCCTATACGCCCCAGCCCAAAGGATGCGTATACATGTAGCGGGGGGCTGGCTGCATCGAGCCCATATCCTTAATTTCCGCTCTCTAGTGCAAGTGTGGTTCTGCGGCTCGCGTGGGGCAATTGCTGATCAACAGATGTATTCCTTGGGCAAGCCCTGTTGGATCCACCCCACTCGTACAGGCCGCACGTACCTTCGTCGCTTAGCTGAGGGCTCCCCCCAAGACCCACGGCAAGGCTGTCCCATCGAGGCACCGACCAAGGGCCCAGCTTTAAGCGATAACCAAACTTGCTTCGCAACGGGGATCTCAATCTCAATATCCTCCTCCTCCTCTCCTCCTCCTCCTCCCTCCTCCTCCTCCTCCTCTTACTCCTCCTCCTCCTCCTCCTCCTCTTCCTCTCTCCTCCTCCTCCTCCTCCTCCTCCTCCTCCTCCTCCTCCTCATCCTCCTCCTCCTCCTCCTCCTCCTCCCCTCCTCCTGCTCCTCCCCCTCCTCCTCCCCCTCCTCCTCCCCCTCCTCCTCCCCCAGAAGAACAGGCGCCGGCGCTGGTGCAGCGGCACAGGGCGCCCTTCGCCCCGGCGACGGCCGAGGGCCTTCGACCGCCCGCGGGCGCCTTCGCCAAGGCACCGCCGCCCGGCGGCGCCCCAGCGGCCGCCGCCCCCGCGCCGGGCGGTTTCGCCACGTCGCCCGCGCCAAGCGGCTTTTCGGCGGCGCTGGCGCCCGGCGGCTTCTCGGCGGCGCCGGCGCCGCGCGCTGCGCCGGCCTCGGCCGCCCTCACTCGCGTGGGCGTCGGGCGTGTCCCTTTGCAGGAGGAGTATTTTAAAAGATTGTCAAAAAATAGTCTGGGGGCGATTTTTTGAGTATTCTTGAGCTTTTTGTGTGAGCATTATTTGGTTATTGGTTTCGTCCAAAATCCGCCTGTAGGGGGACATGCCCGAGCTAACGGTCGCGTCGCCCGCGCATCTCGCTGGCTCGCCCTCCTCCCCAAATCTTCACCAGCGCCTGAAGTATCAAAGCATTTATTTCGTATGATTCTGCCTCTCTGCGGTCCGTTTTCGGGCTCATCGAGGCCGTCAGGACGTTAGTCAGGATGGAATTGCTGGACGCGGAGATCTCCAGATGCGAGCACTTCATGTCCTGGCACTTCCCTCTGTGAGCGTCCGAGTCAGAGGCGCAGCGTGCGGCAATGGATCGCGCCCTGGCGGCTCCCCCTTGGGGTGTCCAAATGCTTGGCCTGCTACACCGCGAGGACCATGGGGAACTGACAGGGGAGGTGTCGGCGGTGCAAAAACCAGGGCCACGTTTGAGACATCCCAGCAATATGGGCGTGACCGGGCGAGCATCATTCAGGAGGGGAAAAAACACACAGACACAATTAATCGTCGATTCCAAAAAAAATATGGGAAAATATGGGAATTGGGCGGGAAGACAAAAACCCAGAATATATAGGAAAATATTGGGAATCTTTTTATTTGTGTGTATTTACTTGTGTGTTCGAGGGCCCCTTCAATCATACACCCCACTGCGGCTCTGCCTCGGGGTGCCCAAATGGCACGCCAGCTACATCGCGATGCGCACCGGGCTTTCAACGGAGAGGGGTCGGGCTTGCCAAGACCAGCGCCTCGCTGGCCTGGCGTGCCGCGCCGGCGGCCCGCGCAAGCCGACGCGCAAGGTCGCTGTGCCGTCTCGCGCAAGGCCGATTGTTGATCGTCGCTCACGTGGCCCTGGCTGATCCGGGCGTGCGCTGACCCAAGTTTCAGCCACGCGCAGCGGGGGGCTGGGGGAGGGGGGAGGGCTTCTTGGAAGCACCCCTGCTCCGTGGAAGGCGCGGGCCTGATCTATAGATGGAGGGCCAGCGCCTGCTAAGAAGCAGCCTCCCTCTAAGAAGACCTGCCCCCTCCCTCCACCCCCGTGGGCGCGCCGCCAAGCGCCGAGCGAGCGAGCCGCGTCCAGCTCATCCAGCAGCTCGCACGGAGGTGAAACGACGACTGCTCCTCTGCCCCGCCGCAGGAGTAGTCTCAAGTCGGGCGTGTCCCTCACATGAGGAATGCTCAAAAATAGTAGAAACATAGTTTTGGGACAATGTTTTTATTTTTGTTTGACAATGTTTTTATTTTTATATTTGCTCTTTTTTATTGTCCGTCCAAAATACGCCTGTAGGGGGGACATACCTGACCTGAGAGTAGCCGCCCGCGGCGAGCATGCCGCCGCCGTGCCTCGGCCGTGCGATGCAGGCGAGGCCCGCGCCCAGAGAAATACCCCGCTTGCCTCCAGGGCGCCCTGGGCTTCTCGGGCTGCGATGGCTTGGCTATGGGAAGCGCGGCGCTCCCGCACCAGAAGTCGACGGACGTCCCGGGGTCTCCGGGCGGGCTTTCTTGTGGAAGGGTTCGTGTGGACTGGCCTCCACTGTGTGGCCAGAGGTCCAGGCCCGAGTGAGAACGGGCCGCCTCGCACCTGAGCCGTGAGCCAGGATGGCTACGGAGGCGCGGAGGGAGAAAGAGGGAGGAGGAGCGGAGGGAGCAGGGGGAAGAGGACAAGGAAGGCAGAGAGGGAGGAGCTATCGAGGAGGGAGCAGAGGCACGAAGGAGGGGGGGGAGACGTTAGACGCGGCGGGCTTGCGTCCGAGGCACCTGGTGCGAGAGAGAATGAGAAACTGAGGGAGAGGGGGACGGAGGGATTGAAGGATGGCAGGATGAATGGAGGGAGAGGGGAGGGGGAAAGCGAGAGAGAGAGAGAGAGAGCGAGAGAGGAGGAGGACGAGGAGGAGGAGGAGGAGGAGGAGGAGGCGGAGGAGGAGGAGGAGGATGAGGAGGAGGAGGAGGAGGAGGAGGAGGAGGAGGGCGGAGGAGGAGGAGGAGGAGGTGGAGGAGGAGGAGGGAGGCAGAGGAGGAGGAGGAGGAGGAGGAGGAGGACGGCGGATCAATAATGAGAGCTGCTGTCAATACGTTCCCTGAATATCGAATGCTCTTGGACCAGCTATCTGAGTTTGCCTCTCGCCATCTCGAGATCGTTGATCTCTCGGCTGAGAAGCTGTCCCCGCGCTTCTGGCAGTCACCAGCGTTTGTGGAGCATCTCTCGGATGCGGCAGGTGGCTTCTCTCGCTCTCGGGACCTTGCTCGAGCTGGATCGATCGCCCGTGATGCTGCGCTGGAGCTCTTGACCTCTGCCACCGCCCTCCCTCGCCCCCCCAAGAATGTGAAGATGCAAGGTAGACTGCTGAAGATTTTCCAACGAGAACTCTTCCCTGATTCCCTGGACGGTGTTTTCTCGGAGCGTTGGGCTCGTTGGTTCCCTGGGGCCGCGGAGATCCTGGTGCACGTGAAATGGGAAGAGGTCCGTGAGCTTCTCATTCGAATGAGAGGCCCTTTAGTGAATGCGATATGGAAGACTCTCTCTGGTAGTTGGATCACAGCCGTGCGGTTTCACGACAGTGAACCACTATGCTGTCTGCTGGGCTGCGGTGGCCCTGACAGCTTTGTCCACTATTGGTGCTGCCCACGCTTTATCCAGCTTCTCGAATCTGTGCTGTGCTCCCAAGTCCATTACTGTCCGATTTGTCGCTCTGGTGTTTTTCTTCCGACCATTTCTAGTCTTACCGTCCCTGCTGCTGCCTATCTCCTGTTTGTGAATCTCCGCTCGCTCTTCATGCCACCTGAACCTCTCACTTTAGAGGTGGCACAGTCGGCTGTTCCCCTCACGAGGGTCCAGCTCACGCGGGCGAGGGTGCGCGGCGGCCAGCGCGGATGAGGGACACGTGGCGCGCAGCTACGTGCGAGGAGGAGGACGGCGGAGGAGGAGGAGGAGGGCAGAGGAGGGCGGAGGAGGAGGAGGAGGAGGAGGAGGAGGAGGAGGAGGAGGAGGAAAGGAGGGAGGAGGGAGGAGGGAGGAAGGGCGATTGAGCGTGGCGACGGAGGAGGGCGGGCGACGGAGGGAGGGAGGCGACAGAGGGAGGGAAGAGGGAGGGATCAATGGAGGGAGGGAGGAGGTTGGGAGAGAGGGAGACAGAGGGAGGGAGGAAGGGAGAGAGAGGGAGGGTGGAGGGAAGGAGGGGGGGAGGATGGAGGAGGGAGGAGGGAGGACGGCGATGGAGGAGGCAAGGAGGGAGTGGAGGGAGGGAGGTGGGAGGGAGGTGGAGGAAGGATGAGGAGGAGGAGGAGGAGGAGGAGGAGGAGGGGAGGAGGAGGGAGGAGGAGGCGGAGGACGAGGGAGGGAGGGAGAGAGAGGAGCTGGTAGGTAGGAGAGGGGGCTGGAGGAGCAGCGGGGGGGGGCCGCGCGCCGCGGCGCCGAGGTCGACTCCTCCGCGGCCGGCGCCATCGCCGCCGCGGCGGAGACGGCGAGGATGGCCGCGGCCCTGGGCGTGCCGTCGGCGGCCTCGCAGAAGGCCCTCGCACCCTGTCCTAGAAAGTCAGACTTGCAGAAGGGAGGGAGGAAGGAGGAAAGGAGGAGGAGGGAGGAGAGAGGAGGAACAGGAGGAGGAGGAGGAGTGTCATGAGTGTCATAGATCCAAGAAGTAAGCGGCGAGCGAGGCTCAACCGTCACCTTGGGCTCAGACAGGAGGAAGGGGCCCGCAGGCGCCAGCACCGACGGTCAGGGGAAAGGCAGACACCTCGTCGCTCAGCGACTCGCTGCCCAACCGAGACGGCGTGGTGCGCAGGGGGACAGCCGGTTCACCGCGTCACCGCGCAGTACTTCCCGACCGTCACCCCTGCCGAATCGGATGGCATGCGCAACTGGGTTTGCACCCCAGGGTGAGCGGACACAAGGTTCCAAGGGACTTACGGACCACCTGGCCCCGCCTCTCAACCAAATGCACACCCCCCGTGCCTGGTAGCCATCTCCAGGTCGTCACGGGCGCCGCTGCCACGGGCAAAGTGCCACGTGGCTGGTGCAAGAACGACCAAAGCCGGTTTATCTGCCCCCGGCCGCCGCATGCAATTGACACTGACGGTGTGCCCCGAGGAGTGCGTGGCGCTGACACCATGAGAACAGGTGCCAGGCCCCCACCCTCGGGGCAAGGATGGGGAGGACGCGAAGGAGGAGGAGGAGGAGGAGGAGGAGGAAAGGAGGAAAGGAGTGTGTGTGCTTGTGTGGGTGTGTGTCTGTGTGTGTGTGTGTCTGTGTGTGTGTGTGTCTGTGTGTGTGTCTGTGTGTGTGTGTCTGTGTGTGTGTGTCTGTGTGTGTCTGTGTGTGTCTGTGTGTGTGTGTCTGTGTGTGTGTGTGTCTGGGTGTGTGTGTGTGTGTGTGTCTGTGTGTGTGTGTGTCTGTGTGTGTGCGTGTCTGTGTGTGCGTCTGTGTGTGTCTGTGTGTGTGTGTCTGTGTGTGTGTGTCTGTTGTGTGTGTGTGTCTGTGTGTGTGTGTCTTGTGTGTGTCTGTGTGTGTCTGTGTTTGTGCCTGTGTGTGTGTCTGTGTGTGTCTTGTTGTTGTCCTGTGTGTGTGTCTGTGTGTGTTTGTCTGTGTTTGTCTGTGTGTCTGTGTGGTGTCCTGTGTGTGTCGTGTGTGTCTGTGTGTGTTCTGTGTGTGTGTGTCTTGTGTGTGTCTGTGTGTGTCTGTGTGTGTCTCTGGGGTGTGTGTGTGTGTTGTGTGTGTGTGTCTGTGTGTGGTGTGTGTCTGTGTGTGTCTGTGTGTGTGTATGTGTGTGTGTCTGTGTTGTCTGTGTGTGGTGTGTCTGTGTGTGTGTCTTTGTGTGTTTCTGTGTGTGTGTGTCTGTGTGTGTGCCTGTGGTGTGTCTGTGTGGGTTATCTGTGGGTTGTGTCTGTGTGTGGGTTGTGTTTGTGTGTGTTTCTGTGTGTGTCTGTGTGTGTGTGTCCCTGGTGTTGGGTGTGTCTGTGTGTGTGTCCTGTGTGTGTGGCTGTTGGTGTTTTTCTGTGTGGTCTTTCTCGTGTGTGTGTGGCTGTGATGTGTGGTGTCTGTGGGTGTGGCTGTGTTTGTGTGTCTGTGGGTGGGGGTCCCCCAGTGTGTGTCTCTGTGTGTGTCTGTGTGTGTGTGTGTGTGTGTCTGTGTGTGTGTCTGTGTGTGTGTGTCTGTGTGGTGTGTGTCTGTGTGGTGTGTGTCTCTGTGTGTTGGTCTGTGTGGGTCTGCGTGTCTGTGTGTTGGTCTGTGTGGGTCTGTGTTGGGTCTGCGTGGGTGGGCGTGTGTGGGCGTGTGTGGGCGCGGGTGGGTGTGTGTGGGTGTCTGTGTGTCTCTGTGTCTCTGTGTTTGTGTGTCTCTGTGTGTGTCTCTGTGTGTGTCCTCTGTGTGTCCTCTGTGTGTCCTCTGTGTGTCCTCTGTGTGTCCTCTGTGTGTCTTCTGTGTGTCTTCTGTGTGTCTTCTGTGTAGCTTCTGCGTGTCTTCTGTGTGTCTTCTGTGTATCTTCTGTGTGTCTTCTGTGTGTCTTCTGTGTGTCGTCTGTGTGTCTTCTGTGTGTCTTCTGTGTGTCTTCGGTGTGTCTTCTGTGTGTCTTCTGTGTGTCTTCAGTGTGTCTTCAGTGTCTCTTCTGTGTGTCTTCTGTGTGTCTTCTGTGTGTCTTCTGTGTGTCTTCTGTGTGTTTTCTGTGTGTCCTCTGTGTGTCGTCTGTGTGTCTTCTGTGTATCTTCTGTGTGTTTTCTGTGTGTCTTCTGTGTGTCGTCTGTGTGTCTTCTGTGTGTCTTCTGTGTGTCTTCTGTGTGTCTTCTGTGTGTCTTCTGTGTGTCTTCAGTGTGCCTTCAGTGTCTCTTCTGTGTGTCTTCTGTGTGTCTTCTGTGTGTCTTCTGTGTGTCTTCTGTGTGTTTTCTGTGTGTCTTCTGTGTGTCTTCTGTGTGTCTTCTGTGTGTCGTCTGTGTGTCGTCTGTGTGTCGTGTGTGTGTATGTCTGTGTGTCGTCTGTGTGTCGTCTGTGTGTCTGTCTGTGTGTCTGTGTCTCTGTGTCTCTGTGTCTCTGTGTCTCTGTGTCTCTGTGTCTCTGTGTCTCTGTGCGGGTGTGTGGGTGTGTGGGTGTGCGTGCGTGTGGGTGTGTGCGTGCGTGTGCGTGTGTGTGTGTGTGCGTGCGCGTGCGCGTGCGCGTGCGCGTGCGCGTGCGCATGCGCGTGCGCGTGCGCGTGCGCGTGCGCGTGCGCGTGCGCGTGCGCGTGCGCGTGCGCGCGCGTGCGCGTGCGCGTGCGCGTGCGCGTGCGCGTGCGCGTGCGCGTGCGCGTGCGCGTGCGCGCGTGCGTGCGTGCGTTCGTGCGCGTGCGCGCGTGCGTGCGTGCGTGCGTGCGTGCGTGCGTGTGTGTTTGTGTGTCTGTGTGTGTGTCTGTGTGTTTGTCTGTGTGTGTGTCTGTGTGTGTGTCTGTGTGTGTGTCTCTGTGTGTGTGTCTGTGTGTGTGTCTGTGTGTGTGTCTGTGTGTGTCTGTGTGTGTGTCTGTGTGTGTGTGTCTGTGTGTGTCTGTGTGTGTCTGTGTGTGTGTGTGTCTGTGTGTGTGTGTCTGTGTGTGTGTGTCTGTGTGTGTGTGTCTGTGTGTGTGTGTGTCTGTCTGTGTGTGTGTGTCTGTGTGTGTGTCTGCGTGTGTGTGTCCCGGGGCGCCTTGGGGCGCCTTCACTCTCGCGGGGAGTTCGCGCGCAGGGCGTCAGCGCCAACAGGTGTCCGCCGATCCCCATCTGGCCGACCCGGGCTTGGGAGCCAAGCGGTGCCAGTTCCCTCCTTTTTGTCCGCCCTCCGCCGGCTTGGGCTCGGGGGCTACTGGGCGGCCGGGCCTTGTGTTCAGTCGGGCCTGTCTCTCTACAGGAGGAGTATTCAAAAATACTCCAAAAAGAGTTTGGGAAGATTGTTCTATTAATTTTGACCATCTTTGAGCATTTCTGGCAATTCAGAATGTTTCGCCCAAAATCTGTAGAGGGACATGCCCGACCTTTGACCACCAGAAAGAATGTCGAGCATCAGAGAAGTACCGAACTTCTAAGGGTTTTTGAGTGTCGGGCCCCGGGAGACACTCGCCCGACGCTGTCTCGATATTGTTTCGACAGGATTTCGACACTGTCCTGTGTGCTCGAGATTTATTTCTGGGATGTCGTCCTTAAGTACGATGGGAGCAACGTCAGGCGAGCTGAGGCAGCATTAAGTCGGGCCTGTCCCCCTCCAGAAGGAATATTCAACAGTAGTATAAAAAATAATATTGGGACGATTTGTTTAGTATTGTAGTGGCCTCTGGCCAGTGCCGCCGATCCGGGGTGCTACCGATTCCATGGTTTAAAGTAGAGCAATCGCTCGAGACATCCTCGGAAGGTAGAGACGTTGAACTCGCTTGTGCAACCTTCCGATATTCGAAAGTGACGATCTCGCGTGGACAGCCAAACTCATGGGATGTTGGCGTAGCTGATGTATGACACCTTTTGGGAGCGCTCCTGGGCTTCTCGGAGGACCCCCCCCCGACAAAGCGAAGCTTGAGCGAGCTCCCCCCCCCCTTCCCCATCCTGGGCCTGAACGGCGTCAGCCATTCAGCCCCCCACCCCTCCCCCGAATCCCCCCTCCCGGGCCTGAATGGCGTCAGCCGGTGGCGTCAGCCCCCCCCCCCCCCCCCCATTCCCAAGCCTGAATGGCGTCAGCCATGCCCTCCCCCTTCCTCCTTCCCGGGACTGGATGGCGTCAGCCATGGCGTCAGCCCCCCAATCCCCGACAGAGCGAAGCTTGAGCGAGCTCCCCCCCCCTCCCCTCTCCGTGGCCTGAATGGCGTCAGCCATGGCGTCAGGTCCCCCCCCGATTCCCTCCTCCCAGGCCTGAATCGCCCCCATGGCGTTAGCTATGGCGCCAGCCCTCCCCCCCCCGACAGAGCGAAGCTTGAGCGAGCACCCCCTCCCCCCTTCCCAGGCCTGAATTGCGTCAGCTATGGGGTCAGGCCCTCCCCCGCCACTCCCCGTTTCCTCCCCCTCCCGGGTCTGAATGGCGTCAGCCATGGCGCCCCCCCCCCCCCCCTTCCCCCCCCTCCCTCACCTCCCGGGCCTGAGTGGCGTCAGCTATGTTGTTCAGCCCCCCCCCCCCCCCCCGACAAGCGAGCTTGAGCGAGCTCCGCCCGCCCCTATTCCCCTTCCCGGCCTGAATGGCTCAGCCATGGCGTCAGCCCCCCCCCCCCCGACAGAGCGAAGCTTGAGCGACCCCCGACTCCCTCCTCCCAGGCCTGAATCTCCCCCTCCCCTCTCCTGGGCTCGGATGGCGTCAGCTATGGCGTTTGCCCAGCTTCCCCCCCGACAGAGCGAAGCTTGAGCGAGCCCCCCCCCGACTCCCTTCTCCCGGGCCTGAATGGCGTCAGCCATGGCGTCCCCCCCTCCTCCCTCCTGGGCCTGAATGGCGTCAGCTATGGCGTCAGCCCTCCCCCCCCCACAGAGCGAAGCTTCTCCCGGGCCTGAATGGCGTCAGCCATGGCGTCCCCCCCTCCTCCCTCCTGGGCCTGAATGG